GAAATCAAAGAAAGTTAAAAGTGTGTGTGCGCGTATATTGAGGTGCATCAACATTGGAAGAATGGACATGTATTAAATATCGAATGGAAAGAGAATATTGTTGTCTCTGCAATGAACAGCATCTTCTAGTGATTTTTTCAAACAGATTGGAAAACATAGCAATTACAAATACCACGCAAACCTCGACTTAACATTATTTATAGTATTATTTTGTTTTTGCTTGGAAGCTATTGGCTTAGCGTAGAGCACGGAACCTTTTTTGCCCATGGACTGTGTTAGTTAAAGTTTCGACATAATCATCTGTCCGTGAGGCACAGAAGCCACGAAACTGCCATGGTTTTGGCTGGTCTGAAGTGGAATGAACAAAACTGCCTCCGTGAGAATCACTTGGATGGCTCGGTTTAGTGGACTACATGGTGCAAGTGCTAGAACGTCATGTCTTACCCTTATTTTCGTCATGGTGTCATTCAAGTAGACATCCCCATGGCTAGCAAAGCACTTTTTGACTGCCCCAATGCAGCTAGACAATTCCTCTAAGACCAATTCAAATCAACTTTGGAGTGGTCACCAATAAATAGCCCCGATATGAATCCTACATGCATGTAAAGATCCATGAAACAGCAAATGAAGAAAATCGACTTTGCTCCCAATTCATACTCTTTGTTTGCAACTCTCTGTGATATTTGGGAAGAAATGACAAATAATTATGTCCAAAATTTAATAAAGTCGATGCCCAAAGGTTTCGTGCACTAAATAAAACTAATGGCTCCTATGTAAAATAACAATGAGCACATTTGTTATTGTTAAGTCCAAGTTTTGTGTGGTATTTGTGGTTGCTGTTTTCCGTTTCGTTTGAAACTATCGTAATAAAATATCGAAATGAAAGATTGCTCATTGAAGGGACAAAATTTTCCATTCATTAGAAATGCAATGTATGTCCATTCTATCAATATTGATGCTCATTAATACTCGCGCGAAGACAATTTTGCGTTTCTTTGATTTCGCATAATTTTGCCAAGCCTGATTTTTTAAGGTCAATTTTGAGTAACCAAATCTCAGGTTCTCTTAGCAGAATTTATATAACTTCAAAATGGTATGCTGCATGGGTGGGTAGTGCAAGGCTTTAACACGATTATTGGGCGATTACATTTTCAAGTTTCTTTTGGACGCCCCTGTATGTGTGTGTGTGCATGTGTGTGTGTGTGTATGTGTGTGTGTGCGTGTGTGTGTGTGTG